CTGTTTATGTCCGCAGACTTCAAGTAAAAGATTATCATACCACCCGCTTTGGAAAAGTGTGTGCTTTCTAATTTTCAGCAGGGGTTTCTTCATATTCTTCTTTAATCTGCTTGTATAAAATCTATGGCTCCAACTGTCAGTGAAAAGGGTGAACGTAGCTTGTGAGAGAGATGATGCAGTCAATGTGGAAATGCCTTAAACCTGCATTTTATCTGAAGGCCACCAGATGGCGATAGATGTGGTGGCAAAAATATTTTAGTCCTATAAAAATCTAGGGGAAAACAGCTTTCCATCTTGATTTCTATTAATACTTGACAGTAAGAGAAGATAGGGCAAGTGCACTTTTACACTTTACTGGTTTGGTTTGCTCTGTTTTGCTTTTACCAATGGCAAATGCTAATCTCAAGGCTTCAAAACGGGACTTCAGAAATCACTGGATTGTTGCTACATCCATCTTTAATTCTGTCTATGGTGGCTCCCTTGATGTCTTACCTCACTAAACATTATTGATGAGGTTTTAGGTTTTACATAGTTTAGGGATCTAACCAAAAGGATGATGTCCTAGTGCACTGACAGCTGCTTTTAGCAAACCTGTAGCTAGCTAACTAATCCAACAAGTGTTTGCTCGTTAAGTTGGTTAAAAGCATCTTCTGCTATTTTAGTGTGATACATAATGTTTCTGTATGAATTAGAAGCGGCCTAAAATATGTAATATTGGGTAAAAACAGGTTGCAGTAAAAGACAAATGTTCTAGTCGAGTGCCCCGGCCTCGACAGCTGTAAAAGATAAACAAAGTTCTTCAAGTCTGTGCTACACCGAAGTAAGGATAAACATTGAGCTCTAATATTAACAATAAAACAGTTCAGTATATTGCTCTTACTATTCATATTTTTAAACATATTCAAATGTTATATATTAAATTTTAGCAACATCAGAAAAGGCTTTGATAATAACACTTTGACTTTTGCTAATGAAACCATACCTTTGCTAATGTTCTCAAGTTCTTCACTGACCCAGATTAAAACAAAGGAAGCTGTTGTAGCTGATGAGCAGTGTGCCTGATCTTTAGAAGGAACACGTGTATGCTATTTAGCTGGCGTGCTAACAACTGCAGCTCAGGTTTATGCTGATAAACACTGTGCACTTTTTGATTGGAAAGCTATAAAAATATCTAATGGTCATCATTCACTCTCTTTCATCTCAACTTGATGAAATCTTTATACGTGATATCACTAATAACAACTGACAAATTAACAACTCTCCTCCTTTGATCAGATAAGCTCCAAAGAAGACAGCTAAGTTGGGCAGGGAAGTGTGTTATAATTGAAAGAAAAGAACTCTTTTCTTCTAATTTCTACATTTTTTAGAAGTATATTTAAGTTCCACTGAAGTTTTCTCATTAGCTTTGGTCTTTTGTTGTGTTAAGCCTTGTTTAATCCTTCCTGTACATGGTATTTAGGTAAACAAACAGGGTCGCTATTCTAAGTAGCGAAACCTCTCAGATCTAGGATTATTCTGGTTAAATCTCATTGTATTTGATAACTTAACTCCTTTAATATTTTTA